GAACAAACTGCATGGAATTTAAATGAAATTGAATATGATGGGTTACCGAGTTAAAAATAAACTAGTTTCAACAGCGGATAAACCACCACTTTCAAAAGTCAATACATCAAACACATTCGTTATAAGCAATCCTTCTATGAAACTTCAACCGTTTAGGAAGAGGAAATTTTGAAAAATTTTATTTGTTATTTTTAAAAGTGCAATTAGTAGCAAAACTTAGTAGTGAAAGGTAACACAGCTTGATTTCTCTAAGACTGAAAGAATTTACAGAGCTTCAGATAAAGCCCAAAAATATAACAACATAAATTCTAAAACCTAGAGAAAATAAACAGAGAAAGTCTCTTTGAAACATCCTAACAAGTCCAGTAAAAAATAATGTGTTAGTAGAAAGAAAACCCGTAGTGCTCAAATACCCTAAAACTCACTCACGACCAAAGCTAAAATGACAGAGATTAAGAATGTTCGTAACCGAAGTCAAAAAACGCGACATTCAGGGACATATAAGACGAAACTGTCTAGCAAAACAGTTTTCCTGTCATTACAAAAAAGAATAAACAAAATTCATTGAATGTTACCACACAAAAATTACAAACCAGCTACTCCTTTCTAACTACACCCATAAATTCCACTGAATGCACAGATATGTTCAACTGCATTCACATTCCAACCTCTTATCATAATCGCTTCATTCTGTCAAGGATTACATACTGCATACCAGACGAAACGGTTGTTATGCCAGTCATTAAGCTGGAACATGTACCTAACTGCCAAACTTAAAAGTTTGAATTCTGCTAGGCGATCAGCTAAATCTCACCATTAAAAACCAAATTTCAATCTCAAACTGAAAAAGAAACAATAAATTTCTATCCAAATCTCTATTAAACTCCACTATGAGCACGCCATGAATAAAAAAATTCTACAACCTAAACTTACTATAAATAAGACAGCCAAGAATGATTAGTAAAAGCAAATACAGGAGCAGCGAGACTAAACGTCACCACAGTGAGTTGTAAAGCAGTGTTCACCTAAATTAAAAACTTAGTAATGCTCAAGAAACTTGCGGCAATAAGCAACGAACCATCAAAGTAAATAAGAACTTTTGAAATCTTGCAAATCTAAAACTTGTTTCCTAGAAAGAGGAGTTCTTGTTATGCAAGATTTCAGTTTAAAGTACAATTTCCAAGTCCCTAAAAAAGGCAAATAAAAATGCTTACCTTACTAAGAAAAGTTGGGGTCACTTGAAATGGAGTAATAGAAGAATCAAAGAATCGTTTAAGAGTTACTGGAGGTGGTAACATCTTAAAGCGTTTCAAAAAACCACCCGTTACCAAACCAAGGTCGCGTAGAACTACCAATGTAGTCAATACAACTGAAAAACTTACCTCTTCAAAAGAAAAACTGAAGCACTTTTAAGTCAATATTTCGTTAGAAAAACAGAACAAAAAATATACATATAATCTTCAAAAACAAAAAAAAA